TACCCTCCATGTTTTGTGAGTTGGATACCTTGAATAATTCAATTCAAATTCAATTCAAAAATACTTTATTGATCCCAGAGGGGAATTAGGTAATAAGTGAGGTACTAACTTCCATTTTGGTTTGTGGCGTAAGAATGTTCTCTATTGAAAATTGGGTTGCCACGTCAAAATCCAAAATGGCTGCTGCCATGTATACATGTATRCTTACCACCCCTACATTGCTTTACATTGACGAAACATTAACCTGTGGTGACCAAGGCCCTCTGAATTGTGCCCCTGCTTGTCAGATCGATCAATCTGTGCTGCCTTGAATCTGAAAAAAAAAAACTACCTCTTTTCTTATGCAGTTTAACTCATACACACTTGATTAGCTTGCACCAAAARCACAAAGGGTTAACTTGCATTCCCTTTTTAATTCTAGTCCAGAGAAACATTCACTAGTCAAAATCGTCAGTGACGGGATAGGCATACAACTTGACATTGAAAAAAATGTCAAGTTTTATGAATAAAATGCAACTCGAGCACAAACGAAAAACCAAACTAGGAAAAACTGAGACTGAAATGTAGTGATGAGATAWAGCTTTTGTATGACCACCAAAATTAATTTACCTGTTGGCTCAGTAGATATGTTGTTTGCTGTCTGAACAAGCATATGAAATACTGTGAAATAACATGCTCTGTCCCCTTCCCTTCTGTTTTTGCCTCTGCCCTCAGCCGTTGAGCAACGCATATCACGAGTTAGCGCAGGTGTACACCACCAACAACCCGGCCGAGCTGCGCAGCCTGGTCAACAAACACAGTGAAACGTTCACACGAGACAACAACACGGGCCTGGTCAAACAGTGCCTCTCTTCCCTCTACAARAAAAACATACAGAGGCTAACAAAGGTAGGTGTGTGTGTGTGTTTGTGTATATGTGTGTGCTTAGAAACCAACGTGTAAATTTGATAATCAGCTGTAGGTATTTCTTGGGAAAATGAGCAAAACATGCAACAAGAACCTTCTTTCTTAAAGGGATCCACGATTAGTTCTAACATCAGACTTTATTTGATAAACATATATTTTAACTGTAAAATAAAGACTGTAAAAATACTGTAGGTTGTTTAATTTTGTATTTTTAAAAAAATATATGTTTTAACACGGATGGTGCCATTTTATTTACACGCAAAGCATTCTGGGTAAATGATGACGTGGATAGGTCCTCGGTGTGAGCGAGCTTTATCCACCCTGAAGGTTAATCTTGGACAATATCTGACGATCGACTCTTTTAAATGAAACCAGAGAGCGTTGACAGAGAGGAGAAGGTAGAAATGACTCAGCCTGTAACTGAAAATATGGATGGAGGACAACAGAGCTGCTTCATGGAAGAAGAACTTCAGCTTAGCCTGTTAGCCTTCGCGCTAGCGCCGACGTTATATTGCCTTGTATGTATTAGCTCAGCGCTAGCGCTACAAACTATCAAGCTAAACTGAGGTCCTCCATCCATATCTTCAGTTGCAGGCTGAGTCATTTTTGTGTTCCCCTCTCTGTCATGTGGATGGAGGACCTCAGTGACGAGAGGAGAATGTGTAGCGCTGAGCTAATACATATATATATGGAGATAGCATCATGCTAACGCTAAAGATAACAGGCTAAGCTGAGGTTTTTCCATGAAGCAGCTCTGTTGTCCTTCATCCATATTTTCAGTTACATAAATGTGTGCCGCAACCCAAAGGAGATGAGATGCTACCCTGACCCACAACGGCTCATTGTTTGTAGCAAAGTGGTGGTGTTAGCAACACTTAAGGGCTAATTGACACCGTGACACTTAACAGCAATGGCTGGTGAAGTCCAAAAAGGCTGTTTTATAAGATGTTTTATATAGTTGGGTCTCAGTCCAGTTGTTTGGTCCTCATAAGGGCTTGCACAGGTGTGTTGACTCCTGCATAACAGGTCCAGACCAATGAGGTAAACAAAGTGCAGACCAAATGAATACACCTCTTAGTCTTCTTTGTCCATTCTTTTGTAGATTTACTGTAGTGTTTGGGATCATTTTTTGTGTTGTTTGGCTCAGTTTGCACCAAGTGTAAACTGTCAGGCAGATTTGACTCTAGAAAATTTAAGCATATAGAAAGTCAGGCTTGACTCAATGACTGTGAGGTGCCCAGTTCCTCAGAAGTGTAGGGGTTTGCTTACACTCCAAGCTGTTTTTTTTTTCAAAAGCATACATTTGAAAAACCTTTTTTAAATATGGTGCATTATTTTTTGTGTTGTTGTCCATGTGAGCCTGTAGTCATTGAATTAAAAAATCCAGGTGAACTGGTTCTTATTCTGTCCTGATATGTAAAACCTACGAACTGTAGGATGGTGTATGTACTTTTTTTTACCATTATAATCAACATTACACACATAAAACCTGAGAAATATGCTGTCAGAAATAGTCCCCAAACCAGTTATGGTTGTCTTGTAGTGAGAAATGGCGGTGCTTGTGTGATCTATTTCCTTGCATACATTAAAGCCCTGCCACAGACACCAGTTCTGTATTGTGGCGCACGGAGAGTGTATTGAGTGTAGGGCACATGAAAACAACATTCCTAGATACTCCAGGGTTCATGTGTGCTCACAGTATGAAAGCAGAGAACACTAAATGTGCTCTTTGCTGCGTTAYAAGGCTTATCAGCTCTAAAACGAGTTTCTGTTTCTGCAGACCTTCCTGACATTGTCTTTGCAAGACATGGCGAGTCGAGTGCAGCTTTCAGGTCCCCAGGAAGCAGAGAAATACGTCTTACACATGGTGAGTGTTCAAGAAAAGTCCTGCACAAAATAAGCAGACTATTAGCTACTTAAACCGATGCAGACTTTGTGTTCCTGTTTTATTTGTTTGAATATTTTAGCTAACATGAGAACATGTGTGCATTTATTTCTCTAAGTTTAAACCAGTTCAACATTATTTTTGCACACCAAGTTATGTTTGTTGAAATTTCTTCGTGTTTTTTTTTCTTGTTATTTTCAGATTGAAGATGGTGAGATCTATGCTAGCATTAACCAAAAAGATGGCATGGTCTGCTTCCATGACAACCCTGAAAAATACAACAACCCTGCAATGCTCCACAAAATAGACCAAGAGGTGATGGAACTCCACAACCACCCAACAGGCCTGGCCTGGGACGTTTTTGAGCTATCATGTCTTATGTTCTTTATTTTAATTTTTGTTCTTTTCAGATGTTGAAATGTATAGAGCTGGATGAAAAGCTAAAGTCTATGGATCAAGAAATTACAGTAAACCCACAGTTTGTGCAGAAGGTGAGAGTGTTTCTGTTTTGTTTTACCGTCTTTCTTGGTGATTTCTTGTCAGAATCCTGTTCTTCATATTTATTTTCCCTGACAGTGCCCTAATACAGTTAATTACACTTAATGACAATTTTGGGTGTGTGTGGCTTAATTACACATCACGCCACTGACATACGTTTGGCTCTAAATCACACACTACATGATCTGAGCCCAGTTTTGTGTGCATCATGGGGGGACCTGCTCAACATGTTTGTATAGTAGTTTGACACGATCACTTTAGTCCCCCATCCGTCCTCCGTCTGTTCACMTTATGACAGACCCCTGATGTTTATGGTGGTGCAGCAGAAGGTATATTGCAGCCTGAATAGGTAACAATTATGAAATGATTTTTTTCCCCCCTCTCTTCCAGAGTATGGGATCGCAGGAGGACGATGTTGGTAGCAAAACATCAAGTTATTCATGAGGGGCCTTGAACTGGGATGGAACGCCACAGCCACCCAACACGTTCTTCCCAGGATGAGTTGGATTTTTTTTAAAGAGGAAAAAAACAAAACATTCTGTTGCATAAGGACATTGGTCAAGGAAAATCTAAATTGTGTGGAATGATGATAAATTTGGTTATTCTTACTTCACCGTGTCTTAAGGATACAAAAGATCCTTACAGAAAAAGGAAAAAAAAAAAACATAATTACAGTTTTGTCAGTGTTTTATTTATCAATGTTCAGATTGGAGCACCACTGCTGCATTGACAGAAACCACAACAATAAAACTGGACTTATCTGTTCCAAACATATGTGTGAATAATCTCACTGTTTATTTTGGTTCTTCTGCATGACAGCTATAACTGGAGGGCATTACATGTGAAGCCAAACGTCCATGGGTGACGTGGAATTAAATATGATTAGTCTACGTTTGTAAAGACTTCAACGATACGATCGTTTTCATCTCCCTCCTTGGCTAGAATGTAAATACCATCAAACTGCAAAACTGTACAAAAGACTGATCAAGCTCGACACTGTGGAGAAGTCAAATACAATGGTGCACATTTATTTTTTGTTTTGTTTTTTGTTTTTAGGCCAGATCCACTAGAGGTCGCTAGTGCACTGTACAGAAAACTGTTTTGACAGCTTGTTTGCAGGCAGTTTGGGTCAACACACGAACGAAACTGTCGTTATTTGGGAGCTTGAACAGTGCGATTGTGGATCTGTTAATAAATTGTTTAAGAATATTCCTCTCGGTTGTTCCCTCTGTAAGGTGTGCTTGAGTGGTGATGTACTGTTGATAACCACAATATGTTGCTTTTGAAGCTGATGCTTCAGCGAATGAGCGTCACAAAAGCGGATGTGGTTTGCAGTGGGCGCACTCCTATTTGATCAGCCGGGCAAAGACCCGGTTACAAATGAAGATGAGTAAAGAAGGGGAACCCTGAATGGAGAACAAAACGTCTGTTAGCGGAAGGAGGCATTATGTCCAATTATAAGTCCAATTATAAACGAGCTATCATCGCGATATATACACAGTAGATGATCTTCTCAGGTGTAGGCTTGTAAACAAGTGCAAATTCTGGCTAGCCGCTCTCTCAGCTGGGGTACAAATGGTGTGCAGCCTTTGCTGTACAGGAAAAACCTACCAATCACGACACTGTACTCGTTGTGGGGGCAGGACGTAGCTGGGGAAAAAAAAGTTTGGTGCACGTCAATCATGCCAGCCTCCGGGCTGTGATTGGTCCGTAGGTATGAATGAGGTGGGTCTTGACGCTCACCGTATAAGCTACAATTGAAATTCCAATGCTAACCAACTTTAGCCAGCGTGCTAATATTGTCATTTAGCGATTTTGATGAACTGCATGTATCGCGTGATGCTGGACTTTAATATGTAAATGGTATTTGTCTCCAAAACGGACACTTTGTACAATTAGCTTTGAATGTTTTCTGCTGCGCGTGTCTCAACCACCCGACACCAGGACATGTCCAGTTAGCCCGGACGCAGCAGCCGTACTACGAAAACGAACCTGGCGAGCTAGCCCAGAGGAGCAAATTTAAAAAAAAGCTCGTTTGGACCGGGGGGCTGCTGTGTGTAATTTGAACAGGCTTCATCGCTCCGAGAGACAGTAAAGCCGGATGTTGTGACTGCCATGAGTCCCGCAGGCTGTCCTCATGTTAACGGCTTCAAAGTGGACAACTGGAAGCAGAACCTGAGGCTTATTTATCAGTGTTTCGTGTGGAGCGGTTCGCCTGAGACCAGAAAACGCAAGGTAACAAGTGACGGGAGAGGACGAGTGTTTGGGAAAGGGGGAGTCCAGCGTGTGTTGTTTGTGTGCCTGGACAGCCACAGTCCCCCGCCCTTTGAAAAAAATTAATAAACAACTACAACGCAGACACGCGTAAATAATGCATTACTGTTCACTCACGATTTGTTGCTTCATATCTGATTATAAAAAGGCATAAATATCAGTATAGGCTGTCCACAAACTGAATATCAAACCCAGACCCTGAATATTAGCTCCCATCTATATAGCCACTGCATTAGGTTCAAAGAGCTGATTTACATCTGTTTGCATTGGCTGAGCAGAGCACCTGCTGAGGCTCCAGCAGAACGGTATAAACATCATCACCCGTCGGGCGGAGCTAATGGGTTTTTTTTCTACTTGTTTTAGTTGAAGAGCAAATTTTTTTTTCACCAAAACTCCTGTTTGACTGTCTAAGTGGTGAATGCTTGAACGGCTTCAAATTTCCTGAATTTCAGTGCCAATAAATCTGAAGTTAGTTTATCCTACAGAATTAGGCAGCCTGGAGATATATATATA